TGCTTCCGTGCGAGCACTCAAGCAAGCGGGCTGGGAAGTCTTTATAATCTCCTTCGTCACTCCGACTCACAACGAGGCGAGAGTGCAGGAGATGTACAGGATGCTGGAGGCAGCCAATATCCGGGACCAGGTGACTGGGGTTTGGACCTGCCCTGAAAGGGGCGGGCCAAACGGGAAAGTCGCCCTGGCAACCAGTCTTGGCTGCTCTTTGATCCTGGACGACAATCCAGTGATCCTGCAGGAAGCCCTTGAAAAAGGGTTGAAGGTGTTCGCGATCACCACGAAAAGAGAGCGGCACCAGGACCTGGCCAAGAAGCCCGGTGTGCGAGTGTTCCGAGACCTCTGTGTGGCCACGGAAGCAATTCTGTGTCAGATGATAGACTGCAGAGACTTGTAACCGCCTCGCAAGGCAGCAGGCCCTAGAAATAGGGCCTTGGGCCCTTGAAAAAGGGTCCGTGCCAAGAGCACAGTAGCCCCTAGAAATAGGGTGCTACAGTCGCAAAGCAGCCCCTAGAAATAGGGTGCTGCAACCTAGCCTCACACTGCAGCCCCAGAAATAGGGCGCGGCAGTGTTTTTTCGGGTTTCCACAATATAGAACCCCATAACCCTAAAGGCTTAAGCTTAGGCTTTAGACCCGGGCCTCTAGGGTTAGAAGCTAAGAGCTTCTAATATGTTGTAATGCTAATATATACTATAAATTTAAACTATATATAATATATATATATATAGTAGACACTATATATATATATATATAATATAGTAGCATAATTGTGGAAACCCGACGTCCAGGCCCGTCTCACCCTTCACACAGCTCGTTGTCCATCCGAGCGAAAACAGCTGGGCCCTGGGGTTTGGGGTTTGCTTTAGGGTTTAAGGGTTTCGGCTTCAAACCCTAAGCCCCACCAAAACCTTTCGCTTAAACCCTTAAACCCTAAACCCTTAACCTTATAGGGTTTGCTTTATAGGGTTTGAGGGTCTAGGCTTCAAACCCTAAGCCCCACCAAACCACTTCGCCTAAACCCTTAAACCCTAAACCCCACCAAACCCCAAACCCTTAACCTTAGGGTTTGCTTAAGGGTTTAAGGGTTTCGGCTTCAAACCCTAAGCCCCACCAAACCTTTTTGCCTAAACCCTTGAACCCTAAACCCCACCAAACCCTAAACCCTTGACCTTAGGGTTTGCTTTGGGGTTTAAGGGTTTAGGTTGTAAACCCTAAGCCCCACCAAACCCTTTTGCCTAGACCCTTGAACCCTAAACCCCACGAAACCCTAACCCCTAAACCCTAGGGTTCAGGGGCTGGCGGTTACGGTTTCTGGGGTTAGGGGTTGCTGTGTTTTTGGGTTTCTGGTGGTTACCGGTTCAGATTTTTAAGGGATAGGGTTTTAGGGGTTCAAGGTTTAAGGCTTGGGGGTTAAGGGTTCTGGTAAAAGGTGTTAGGGGTGAAGGGTTTTGCGGGTTTTAGGGGTTCTTAAGGGTTTTGAGGTTTAGGGTTCAGGGTTTTAGGGGTTAAGGTTTTAAGTTTCAAAGCTTAGTGATTTAGAGTTTTAGGGGTTAAGGGTTTAGTGTTTCAGAGGTTGTAACCGTTCAGGGTTTTAGACACGAAAACCCTAAACCTTAGAACCCTACAACCCCCTAGACCCTCTAGCCCCAAAAAGCCTAGCCTGTATAACCCTAGGCCCCAGCCCTAAGACACACAACAAAAGTTTGAAGCCCTTGGCAAAGGGCTGGAAACTTTAGAGTGTGTGGGAAAGGGGAGGGGGGGACGGTGGTGGTGGTGGTGGTTGCCACTGTGGTTGGTGGGTGGAAGGGGGGAAGTTGGGTTGGTGGGAAGGGCGGGAAGCTAGGTGGTGCGGGTTGGGGGGCGGGTGGGGGAGGCTGGTGGCAGGAACTGTGGAATCTGATCAAATCTGATCAAATCTGATCAAATCTGATCAAATCTGATCAAATTCTGATCAAACCACTGTTTGATCAGAATTTGATCAGGATTGATCAGATTTGATCAGATTTGATCAGAATCTGATCAGATTAATCAAACCCGGCACCTTTTTCAAGGTGCCGGGCGAACACCAATTGTTTATGGAGAAAATAATGTTTGGTGGATGGCAGGGGATGGGTCTTTGGGGCTGGCCAATGTAAGCGCTTTTTTTGGTGGTGCTGCCGTGGGGCTGGGTGGGAAGAGGTGGGTGGATTGAGAGGTGAAGGGAATGGTTAATTAGGCGCTTTTTTGGGTTTTGGGACGGGGTGGGGAGGGTGTGATGTATGTTTCAAGCATGTAATTTATCTTTTTTTTATTTATGGGTGCTTACTGCACTTATGTTTGTATATGTTTGTTTCTGGATGTACTTTTCTATTTACTTAGAAATTTTAACATACATATATATATATATATATATTTGATGGATTGTTTCAGAATTTTTTAGATATGATATATTGTATATTATACGTGAAATACCATATGTTTACGATTGTATACATTGAATCACTTTTGAAACTATGATTAGATTTTGCATTGCAATGATTGAAACGATTACTAACGTTTGAAAAGGAATGATTTAGCTATATATATATATATATATGTAGCTACATATATATATATATATACATACATACATACACTGAAATTCCATCTAGTTTCCATAGACTTATAGGTATGTACGATTGAAGTATTTTGTGTGTATATATATATATATAACAGAAATCCCAAGCCCTCGAAAGAGGGCACAACAAACCCCAAATGACAGCAACACTCACAAAACCACAAACCATCAAAGCCCGAAAACCCGAAACCTCGAAAACCCTTAAACCGCCCAAAACCTTAAACAACCCTGAAGCCTAGAACCCCCAAACCCCCAAAGCCCTTGAAACCAAAAATCCCCAATCCCCTCAAAACCCTAGAATAATAATTATTTAAACCCTCAAAGCCTTAAAGGCTTCAAACCTAAAGCCACGGAAACCTAGAACACCCAAAACCCCAAACCTTCGAAACCTTAAAAAGCCAAACCCCCAAAGCCCTTGAAACCTAAAATCCCCAATCCCCTCAAAACCCTAGAAGAATAATTATTTAAACCCTCAAAGCCTTAAAGGCTTGAAACCTAAAGCCACGGAAACCTAGAACACCCAACACCCCAAACCTTTGAAACCTTCAAAAACCAAACCCCCAAAGCCCTACCCCCCTAAGCCCCTACACCCCATCACAAAACCCTCTAATGTTTTTTTTTTAACTCCGGGACCAGAAGCCGAAACGGGCCGCCATGTGGCTCAAAGAAAGAAGCTTCAAGCTTAGTTTTTTTCGCAGAAAACCCACTCCTGAGGAGTGGGTTTGTCCGAAGACCCCAGAATGGGGAAAAAAGGAAGCTTCCCGACGAGCAAGCTTCAGAAAGTGAAGGCCAAGGCCAAGTGTGTGGCCAAGGCCAAAGCGAAGGCCAAAGCGACGGCCAAAGCGAAGTCTTTTGCTTCAAGGGCCCTGAAAGGGGCTCTTGCGAAGGCCAAGGCGAAGGGCCCCCTGAAAGGGGTGCTCAAGCCGACGAAGCACAACTTGAAGAAGCTGGGAAAGGAGAAAAGTTTGGCAGAGAAGGTTCAGGACCTTGCAAAAGGAGCCGACACCGCAGAGGAGGCGGTGTCGAAGGTCCAGCAGGGCCTCAGCAAGCTGGACAAGAGCAAGTTGTGGAGCCAGCACAACACCCACTTGAACAGGAACCCCGAGGCCAAAGAGAAGCAGGACAAGCTGGGGAAGAAAGACAAAGGTGCTGCTGCGACACTGTGGTTCCTTCGAGACAAGGTGCCACAGTTCGCCAACTTCTCAGAAAACAGGGAGGAGGCGACGACCTTGAGAAAGGTTGACAGGTGGTTGTCGGAGAAAGAAGCCCTGAGCAAGTGGACAGAGGCCGAGCTTGAAGCCCACTGCCAGTCGGGCAGAGTGCAGTACCGGGAATGCCCAACCACGTGGGAATATCGTGACAACCACGACTTCGTCAAGGAGACCTCTGGAAGGAGGTCTCGGAACTGGTCCCGTGGCCAAGAGTTCCACCTCGAAGACGACGACGAGCAGGAAGAAGGCCTGGAGGACTTTTTCGCCTTGGACGTGGAGAAGCTTTTGGGCCTCACAGAGGGCAAAGGGAAAGGCAAGGCTCTGGCCTTGACAAAGGGTGGAAAAGCCAAAGGAAAAGGCGGCAGGAAAGGCAAAGGCCAGCAGCAGGAGGAAGGGCAGCTCGCCCTGCAGGACGGCTCGACAGCGGAGGAGAAGGACGACGACGTGCAAGCTTACTTGGGCAAGGCCAAGAAGGCAAGGGACCTGCTGTCGTGCACATACAACAACCTCGAAGAGGCCTTGGCAAAGGCCAAGGCTTCGTCCTACTACAGTGCCGCCTCGCAGAAGGATGCCAAAAAAGCTTTGGCAGACCTGGACGGGCTGCTGCAGAAGACGAAGGGGGTGGTGTCCTCGAAGAGAGCCTGCAAGAAGGAGGTGGTGGTGAGCCTCCTTCAGCAGGCGGCGGCCACGGCGAACCAGGCGAAAGACCTGGGGAAGGAACTCCTGGCGATGGCTGCCAAAACACCCAGCAAGTCCTCGAAGCTGAAGTAATCAGCTCGGGCACAGTGGCATCCCTAGAAACAGGGTGTAAGACCACTGCCAGTGCTCTCGAAACAGAGCACAGCACTCCTTTGCTCTCGAAACAGAGCAGGACAGCCGTTGCTCTCGAAACAGAGCACAACCGTCCTCGACAAAGTTTTTTTTCGTGTCACAGCTTCGGCTTGTAGACCGAGCCTGCCAACAGGCTGGCGACAGACCGGACTGCACTGCTGCAGCTCTGCCAAAAAGAAAGGGTTCTTGTGAGCAGTGTTTTGGGTTCTAGGTCCTTAAACCCAGAAGCCCCAAGCCCAAGCCGAACCCTCAATAACCTTACGCAGTGCCCCAAGGCCCAAGCCTCACCTCAAGGAACTTGCTTGGCAGCAGAACCTCTTCGCTGCCGTTTTGGCTTGAAATCATAGCGAAGCTAGAGCCATGGCCGGCCGTGAGCGAGGCCAGCCAGCCAAGAGGCTCAGAGGCCATGCCCTGGACTTGGCAAGGGGCACGGCCGAGCAAAAGGAAAGGGTTGAAAGAGGAGAAAGCTCCCTCGCAACAGGGTTGCTGTCCTTGTGGGCTCATGGGAACATAGCAGCCACGACCATGTGTTGGTTGGCCCTCCTCGCCACACTGGACGGGGTGGAGCACGAGGAAGTTGTAGCCTTGGCCAAGGCTGGCAACTTCGGGCAAGTTCCCGGCAACTGTGCCAGGGACGTGACGAGAAGGTTTTGCAGTGCTAGCCGTGTGCCAGAGCCTCTGCAGGTGCCCATCCCGGTCTTGGACCCTAAAACAAACAAGGACTCGACTGAAGATGCCGGAATCATGTTGCCACACATGGTCTTCAGTACCCTCGCAATAGGGTACCCGGCAATCTTCGAGTCTTTGGGCTTGGACAAGCTCGAAGCTTTTTGGAACAGTGCCCTCGCAACAGGGGACGACCGACTGGAGAATGTACCTGCCCTCAAAGGCAGGGACTGGAAGAGGAAGGTCGTCCCGCTGTTCGTTCACGGGGACGGTGTGGAGTACCAGACCAGGGACAGCCTTATGGTGTGGTCTTTCGGAAGTCTTCTGAGTCTTTTCTCCGATAGTCTGATGAAGCACTTCCTCATGGCAATGTTCCCTAAAATAGCGACCTCAGCGAGCACCTGGCCTGGAATCATGAAATGGCTAGTCTGGAGCTTCGATGCCCTCGCCAAAGGGTACCACCCCAAAAAAGGGCCTGAGAACGAACCCTTGAAAAAGGGTTCGGTGTTCGAGAAACTGAAAGGCCAACCGCTCACTCCTGGCCATCACAAAGGCATCATTTGGTCCCTGCAAGGGGACCACGACTTTTTCAGCAATGTAGTGGGACTGCCACACTGGCAGTCCCACTACCCGTGCTGGGAGTGTGATGCTTCCTTGAAAGAGGAAGCAGCACGACATGGCAAATGGGTCAAAGAAATCGAGCAGGACAAGCAAAACTTCGTTCGTGTCACCTCGAAGCAGGCAGCACGGCACCCGAGGTCTGCCCATCCTCTCTTCACCCTGGACGGTGTGACCACTCGCCTTGTAAGAGGCGACGGGCTCCACATTATGTTCACGAAAGGCATATATGCCCACCTGTTGGGCTCGGTGTTACATTTTTCTGTTGGTGGGACGAGCCCGGCCACGTGCAGAAAAAAACGCCGGCCGAGAGGCTCGGGCTTTTGTGGGCAGCAATTCAAAGGGAATACACGGCTCTGCGAGTAGAAACCCGTGTAACCAATTTGAGATTGAGTATGTTCACCAATCCAAAAACGCCATGGGCTGTCACTCCTTTCTTGGAGTGTAAGGGTGCCGAGAACAAACACTTGCTGAAGCCACTCGCAACAGTGGCTAGGAAGCTGCTCGACACGACCGAGCCTGTGCAATGCTCTATGCTGTCCGCCTTGGAGTGCATGTCGGACCTCGTCGAAGTCTTCGATGAGGCCGACATGTTCCTTGCAGACAATGAGTTTCGCAAGGCAGAAAGCCTCGCAAAAGGCTTTCTCGACAGCTACAGCTTCCTGAACCAGTGGTCCCTTGAAAAGGGTACCCTGGATTCAGGATTGTAATGAAGCACCATACGTTTCAACACCTGGTAGAAAACTCACGTTTTCTCAACCCACGTGCTCATTGGTGCTTCGCTTCGGAAGATTTTGTGGGCCGAGTCAGTCGCCTGGCAAAGTCTGCGGCTTCCGGGGTTCGCTCCACACGGCTCAGTGTCAAAAGCATGCACAAGTATAGAATTCTTATGCACTTGCTTATGACCCGCCCATCCATACACGATGTGGTGCCGGAGCTAGATGGCATGGCCGATGAGTTCTAGCCACAGGGAGCGGCTGTAGCAGCCTTGCCTCTCGAAACAGGGTGCAAGCTTGGCAACCCTGGAAACAGGGTTGCCATGCCCCTCGAAAGAGGGTGCAAGCTTCCAGATCCTGGAAACAGGGTTGCCTTGCCTCTCGAAAAAGGGTGCAACCTTACGAAGACCCTAACAACATGGGCCCTAAACCCTCTCCAGCCTCAAGACCCTAGAAACAGGGCTGCTTGCCCTCTCCTCAACCCCAGAAACAGGGCTGCTTTCCCTCTGCAGCTTCAAGACCCTAGAAACAGGGTTAGCAGACGTTTCACCCTGCATGTTTCACCCCATGAGTGGCAGGATTGCAGGTGCTCCTTGTGCAAAAAAGGTCTCAGCCCGGACTGTAAGGCCCCCATAAAGATTGATTTGAAGATTGATTTTGGAGTAAATTTCTATTGATTTAAATATTGATTTTACGCTTCCAGATTTCATTTTAACCTATTGATATGAAACATAGCGAGAATCAAGTTTTATAATTGATTTCCTTCGAAATCAATTCGGCTCAGCCCCGATTGATCCTAATCAATAGCGGATGCTCAGGGTAATATGGCTTTAATAAGGGCTTAATAAGGCCATAATAAGGGCTTAATAAAGCCTTAATTTAATAAGCCTCGTATAAGCCTTGTTAAGCTTTATTAAAGCCATATTGAAGCCTTATTACAGCCTTTATTAAGGGCTTTTCAGGAGCAGCCAGGGCCAAGAAACAGCCAGTTTCAGCCGGTACCGGTCAGTATCAGCCAGTATCAGCCAATATCAGGATCAGCCATTATCATCCAGCATCAGCAAGTATCAGCCAATATCATCCAGCATCAGCAAGTATCAGCCAGTTTCAGCCGGGATCAGCCAGTATCAGCCAGTATCAGCCAGTTTCAGCCAGTATCAGTCAGTATCAGCCAATATCGCCAGGATCAGCCAGTACCATCCAGCATCAGCAAGTATCAGCCAATATCAGCGAGCATCCGCCAGGATCAGCCAAGCTGTTGGCCAGCCAGTTTCAGCTAGTATCAGCCAGTATCAGCCAGGATCAGCCAGTTTCAGCCCGTATCAGCTAGTTTCAGCAAATATCAGCCAGTCTCAGCCAGGATCAGCCAGTATCATCCAGCATAAGCAAGTATCAGCCAGTTTCAGCCAGCATCAGCCAGTTTCAGCCAGTATCAGCCAATATCATCCAGTATCAGCCAATACCAGCCAGGCTCCGCCAGTTTCAGCCAGCATCAGCAAGTATCAGCGCTTCAGCCAGTCTCAGCCAGTACCGGTCAGTATCAGCCAGTATCAGCCAATATCAGCCAGCATCAGCCAGGCTGTTGGCCAGTATCAGCTGGTATCAGTCAGTATCAGGATCAGCCATTATCATCCAGCATCAGCAAGTATCAGCCAGTTTCAGCCAGTATTAGCCAATACCAGCCAGGATCAGCCAATATCATCCAGCATCAGCAAGTATCAGCCAGTTTCAGCCAGTCTTAGCCAGTATCGGCCAGTATCCCGGTATCAGCCAGTTTCAGCCAGTATCAGCCAATATCGCCAGGATCAGCCAGTACCATCCAGCATCAGCAAGTGTCAGCCAATATCAGCGAGCATCGCCAGGATCAGCCAAGCTGTTGGCCGGTATCAGCTGGCATCAGCCAGTATCATCCAATATCATGCAGTTTCAGCACAGCCAATATCAGCCAGTTTCAGCCAGTCTCAGCCAGTATCAGCCAGTTTCAGCCAGTATCAGCCAGGATCAGCCAGTTTCAGCCAGTATATCAGCCAATATCATCCAGTATCAGCCAATATCGGCCAATATCAGCCAGGATCAGCCAGTTTCAGCCAGCATCAAGCAAGCATCAGCCGGTTTCAGCCAGTATCAGACAGCATCAGCCAGTATCAGCCAAGACAAGCCAGCATCACAAGCTGTTTGGCCAGTATCAGTTGGCATCAGTAATATCAGGATCAGCCAAGATGATCCAACATCAGCAAGTATCAGCCAGTTTCAGCAAGTATCAGCCGATATCAGCCAGGATCAGCCAGTTTCAACCCGAATCAGCCAATATCAGCCAGGATCAGCCAATATCATCCAGGATCAGCCAGTATCATCGTATCAGCCAGTTTCAGCCAGTATCAGCCAGGATCAGCCAGTTTCATCCAGTATCAGCCAATATCATCCAGGCTCAGCCAAGCTGTTGGCCAGTATCAGCTGGCATCAGTCAGTATCAGGATCAGCCAGTTTCATCCAGCAATATCATCCAACATCAGCAAGTTTCGGCCAGTTTCAGGCAGTGTCAGCTGGCTTTGCACGGTTTTGGGTTTTGCTTGTGCTCTTGGCGGTTATTGGTCATTTCAAAATTTCGATTCCGGTTGGGAAAAAACCCAAATGACACCGCCGGAGATTGAGCCCGCGACCCTGCCCAATACGCTCTGCTGAACGGCCGTCCCCAAGTTCGTCTAGTCGCCCATAGCTCAGCGGGTAAGCGGATGGCTTACAAGCCCTTCTGGAAAAAGGGCGCGGGCTCAAACCCCGGTGGTGTCATTTAGACTCTTTGACGTTAATAAGGGCTTAATAAGGCTTTAATAAGGGCTTAATAAAGCCTTAATAAGCCTCTTATAAGCCTTAAATAAAGCTCTAATAAAGCTTTCATATGGCTTTAATAAGGGCTTAATAAGGCTATAATAAGGGCTTAATAAAGCCTTAATAAGCTTCTTATAAGCCTTAAATAAGGCTTTAATATGGCTTTAATAAGGGCTTAATAAGGCAATAATAAGGGCTTAACAGCCTTGTTTAAAGCTTTTAAGAAGCTGATTAAGGACTTATTAAGCCCTTATTAAGGCTTTTCACAGCCTTATTCAGCCCTTATTAAGGCCATATTGAAGCCTTATTACAGCCTTATTGAAGCCTTATTAAGCCCTTATTACGGCCTTATCAAGCCCTTATCAAGGCCTTATGAAAGCTTCATTATAGCCTTATCAATACTATTGTAATACGACTGTACCACTACCTTACTGCAACTGTATTATTGTACTACTATTATGCTACTAGTGTACTACTGTACTACTACTACTGTACTACCCTACTACACTACCACTACCACTACCACTACTACTACTACTACGACAACTACTACTGTACTACTACTGTACTACTGCACTACTACTGTACTACTACTGTACTACTACTGTACTACTACTGTACTACTACTGTACTACAACTGTACAACTACTGTACTACTACTGTACTACTACTGTACTGCTACTGTACTACTACTGTACTACTACTGTACTACTACTCTACTACTACTGTACTACTACTGTACTACTACTGTACTACTACTGTACTACTACTGTACTACTACTGTGCTACTACTGTACTACTACTGCACTACTACTGTACTACTACTGTACTA